TTGAAACACACTTTGAATTAAGCCCACAGTGCTGCCATCATGATGAAAGTGATCCCTCTATGACTAATCATCAGCTCCAAGGTAGGTATACATTTTGCTTAGTGACATTAATTTTTTGCTTAGTATTCTTAGTATGTATTAAATCACAACCTTCTTTGTTTGCAGACAACTTTCTTATTTAAGATAACTCTGAAGACAATTTAATACGATTTACTCTTTTTTTGTTATTTTTTTTCTGCATGAATATTGTAAAGCAAACTTTTAACAGCTTTCAGTTATTTGATAAGTTTCAAGTATTTTTTAAATATATCCTATTACAAATTTATTTAAAAATAAATCATTCTCTTATGCATTATTGAAAATAATTATAATTTTATTATCACCTATAACCTCATATAAGATACTTCATCATGGGCTTATTAAAAATGTATTTTGAATTTACTAAACTCAAATAAGCAATTAATTTGGAACTTAAATTGTGATGGAATTCTATAAACATTTTATTGAAAAAAATATTAAGTAAATAATATTTATATTAAAATCTGAACTATTTTAAAAGGATGATGTAAAAAAATAGCAAACAGTATAATAATTGTTTATCAGCCTAGAAAACAAAATGTCCACATTGTTTTGAGCCTTAATGAAATGAATATAGTACATTTTAATAACTTTTAACTATTTAATATTCTAAGTTCTACTGGACATAACTAAACAGTTAGTCATCAGCAATATATACATGAATATTAAAATTTAAACTTAGGTTTTCATAGCTAAGAATCAGTGATGAGTCATTAGCCAATCAACTTAAATAAAATTCCAGATATCCATGAAATTTCTCAATCAGCAAGTAGGCATACAGGTTCAGAGTTGCCTTCACCTGATAGAACAGCTACACAAATAACACAACAAGCTGAAAGCAATCCTGATTTTTTGCCTCACCATTCTGAAAATGCTCATTTAACAAATCTTGTTGAAAGATTCTCTGATGGGCAACTTACTACAATGCAGTTGGCTGAAAGAGGCTTTTTTTATTCAAGTAAATCTCTCTAGCACATTTTATAATAAATTTTGAAAAAAAATGCTATTTTAAAAATAAATTTACATTGTTAGTTGGTTTCTATTTAGTGTTTATGTAAACTTGCAGACACTTTTCTTATGTTGAATTGTATCAAAAATGTATTATAGTTTTAACTGATGTTTAGTTTACTGTGGAATAAATGCTAAATCTATGCCATTAATGCCAGGACAAAATAATAAATTCTCATACACAGTGGTTAGCTCCTTCCAGCTTGGTAACCAAAATTTATTGACTGCTATAGATGTTTAAAATTATGTCGTGAACACACATCAGTGAGAACAATAATGTCTAATTAATCTAAGAAAATGTGGTGTATTGAGCCAGTTAACTTTTTAAATATTTTAGGTACAAATGACAGAGTCTGTTGTTACTTGGAATCCTCGCTGTCCATTAGGTCTTCTACAAATGAGCAAGGTATTATGTTAAATTATGCTTGTTTTCCTATAGAATTAAAAAATAGCTGTTAATTATAAGTTTTATGTTAACAAATTTGTTTCCAATAGTTTTGTTGTTTTTGTTTATCTGAAAATATCACAATGTTCAAGGAAATTCTATGTTTTGATATTCATGTTTTGATATAGTAAGTAAAGTTCCCTTTTCAAACCTATCAGTCTATGGAGCAAGTGAAGTAGAGTTTACTTGTTTCTGTGACCTTGGCATATGAAGAGATAGTGTGGTCAGCACTATACCCAGCCGCCTTTACTTTCCCTAACGTGAGTTAGGTACCCATCAGAGTTGGGTGGACTCAGGGACGGGCTACTGACTTGAACCCGGATTCGAAGTCAAAACTTACGGGTTAGCAGTCCAGCTCTCTACCGCTAGACGACTCCATCCCACATTCATATACTAATTGCAATAAAAATCTCAAATATAGCTACTTTCATTTTGAGTTAAAGATTTTTTCCCACTTAAACTCTTACATTGATGTTGTTTTTAATCTGTTGGTTTTGTTACTATTTTTTTTTTTTAAATGAAACTTCAAAGAAAAATATTTTTAAATATTTTATTATTCTTTCTCAGGAACGAAACAACTCAAGCCAGCTATCAGCTTCTAATTGTAAGTTTACTTGTTATTTCTAAAGAAAAAAATATTATATACATATATTTCCCATATACTTAAGTAAACACACACATTTATTAATGTTTGTGTAGTTAGTTAAGATAACTTAGTAAATAACTTTGCTGATGTAAAAAGCTATAACAAACTCTGGCGAACCCCATGATTAGTCAGGGAAAGGGTATACATAGACATAATGCATATAATTTTGTTGTTATTCTATATAAAGTGAATTCAGTAGGCCTACTGTAATTAAATATCATAATGCTATTTTTTACTAGACAATTTGTTAATTCTTCCATCAATGCACTTATGCAATAAACTATTTACAGGCTAAAATGTATTAATGCAATTTATTTCTTTAGCTGCAGTTAATTCAACAGCCTTGAACCCAAGTTCATCCTCAGCTTTAGTTCCATCATTTACTCCACAAACAAGACAATCTTCAGGTTTAGAAGATTGCACAGTTTTAGAGCCTTTACAGCAAGCAGCTTTAGCTGCTTCAGTGGCATCAGCTCAGTCCACAACTGACCAGAAAGAAGCAACAGTACCAGTTTCAAATACCAGCCAAATCAGAAATCAAAGCAGAGACCCAACATCTCCAGCACTAGATGTAATGATGGATCCCATACATAAAGAATACATACCACTATCAAAAAGACTAGATTCTTTCTCAGCTTGGCCTAGAAAGCATCTTTTGAGAGACCCAAATTTGGCAGAAGGTGGATTCAATTATGCTGGTAAGCTGTTATCTCTAATACTCAAGTATTTTAAAAAACTATTTTTGCTATCTAAACTCTGGAGTTTTAGTCACCATTGTATACATTTTTAAAGATTATATACCATTGAATTTTTCTTGAGAAAATGTAATCATCTGATTTTAGGTTATTTGGTTATAATGGTAGGGGTCGACGTGGTCGCGTTGGTAAAGCTTATGGCTGCTAAATCGAAAACTCTAGAGTTCGAACCCCAGGGCAGATTAGGCTCGATAGCTGGTAACAGCAGGTAACAGCAACTATTCTAGAAGAGACAACTCCAAAACCAAACAACTGCTGCCTTGTAGTTTGTTTTTTTTAGTTGAATATTTGTATAGCTAATTCCACCTGAATAGGATTGATAGAGACATACATAGACCCTATGCATGTATTAACAAATCGATGTCATTATTTTTGTTATTCATTACATTGTATATTCAGTATTATATATTTTATCTTCTTATCAATAGTCAACTTTTACACATATAGGCTAAAGCAATAAAATATTTCCAACTAAAATGTATTTATATAACCTACTTCTTCAGATGCATCTAACTCAACAGCATTGAGCCACACAAGTGTTAGCTCAACTCCAGCTGAGCATAGACCGTCCATTCCATCATCTACACACAATCAACAAACTGGCAGAGACAGACCAACAAACACACCAACATCTACAAATGGACAACATGCAAGCAGAGACAGACCAACGCCCACTTATAGTGAACTTGGGATACTGACGGAGAGGCCCAAACGTGCTGATTATGCCCTAAAAGTTAAACGACAGGAAAGTTTTGCTGGGTGGCCAAGGGGACATCACCTAAGTGTGGAGAGTCTTGTTGATGCTGGCTTTTATTATGGAGGTCGGTTTAAATTGGGATTTTTATTTTATCAAAGTTGTATCTATACATTTTCATGTGATGTATTAATATTTATAAGGAATAAATTCAATTTTAAAAATTTATCTACACATAAAATTGAATAAATGTGTAGAAAACTTTAAAATACAATTTATTCTTCATAATTATCAGTAATTTTTTTTTCTATATTACATTAGGAACTTAAGTGTTGTAAAACTGCATTGTGAAAAGAATGAATAGAAACCATTTAAATTTGAAAGTGTGAAATAAAAATTCACAAGTAGAATCTAGCACCTATTTTATTTGTATAGGACAAAAATATATTAAAATTTAGGCTACTATAGTCTAAATTGTGATTCAATATAATACCAAATATTTAATAATGTTATGGTCAACATTATTCCATGTTATAAATGCATAAGCCTTAAAGGTTTAAACACAAAAAAATAAATGTATTAAAAACAAAATTTCTTTCAACAGGTTATGGTGACTGTGCCAGATGTTTCTACTGTGGTGGTGGACTCAGGAACTGGGAAGATGAAGATGACGTGTGGGTAGAACATGCTAGATGGTTCCCTAAGTGTTGCTATCTCCGCCAGACTTTGGGTCAGGCGTTCATAGATACAGTACAGAGTCTCAGAGACAGAGACCAGGTAGGTTTGATCTGGTCTTTAATTTATTTTAGTTTTAGTCTACTAAAAATATAATATTAGATAGGCCTGCTAGCTAATTTATATTTGAATTATTAAATAATTACCTGTTGAAGCATTGTGTAATAAGTATTCACTTATTTATACTTGATTTAGAAAATTCTAATATACAAATTTTCAGATTTCACTAAAACTGGTAGCAGACTCTATGGGAGTAGCTGAATCAGATCTTTGTGTTGGTAAGTAGACCTTTTTTTAATAGTTAAGAAAAGTTTCCCTTTTGAACCTGACGGTCTACTCTCCAAGTAGAGTTCACCATTTTCTGTAACCTCCACATACAAAGGGATAATTTGGTCAACACTATGCCCAGCCACCTTAACTTTCCCTAATGTGAGATAAGTACCCAAAGAGCTGGGTGGACCCAGGGATGTTCTACTGACTGGATCCCAGATTTGAACTCAAGACTTTTTAGTCAGCAGTCCAGCACTAGGCCTTGCCTTTCCCTGATAGTTGAAAAATATAAAACAATTTGTTTTTAAATTAATTTTCTGAATTTATTATGTATAGTTTTAAAACCCTTAAAATAATTCCCCTTTTCAGTGTCCAAAGAAAATCTGACAAGAGATGCAGCAGTCAGAGCTGTTGTAGATCTGGGCTATCTGTTTGCTGATGTACTACAGGCTGCTGAACTAGTTAAACAAGAAGGTAAAACCAACTATGTTTCATCTTTATTTATAAGTTGGCCTACTACAATAATGATCTTAAAGGAATGGCACATTTTAAAGGTTAGTGGTATTTCTATTTAAATTATTATATTGTAATTTTAATGAAATAAAATAAATAAATAAATATTATTAATTTATAATTAATTTATAATTAATATATGTTTATAATTAATACATATTATTTTTAAATAAAAACTAAATATTATTCATGTAAGATAAGCAATAGTTTTTATAACATTGGTATGGTATAAACTTCATTAAGATTTCGTGATTTTAAAAAAAATTATTGTTGACTTCTTTTATGAACAAAAAAATGTGAAAAATAGAATGGCATTTTAAATTATGTTTATATAATAATTGAAATCTTTTAAGCCCAAATAATTGTGAAATAGCTGGTCTTTATTAGTTGAAACTTCAATCAGTTTATATTTGAATAACCATAGACTGTGGTGGACTGAGATATTGTACTGTGGCTTTTAATAATTCAGTTAAATTACTTCTTGAAATAAATGGAATATCTACTATAAATAAAATTGTGTACACCTAGTTCTCTAATTCTGAATCTATTTTACTATTTTTGCATGGTACAGCCAACATTTTGTCTGCTGATAACATCATAGAAAAACTTGACCTGCTAGGAAAGAGGTTAAACATCAGAAGAAACAGTGAACCTGCAGTGGATCCATCCAAAATCTTAGGTAGGTTTAAGTTTCATTTGTTGTTTTACTTTGTAAAATACATTAGTAATTTTATTTAGTTTTTTTTTATAATATTTATGAAATAAACATAAAACAGAAATGAATTGAAAAAAAATACCTTTGTGTATTATTGTTTATGATGTTATATCATAATAAATTCTCTTATGATCTTACAAGAAATGTAAGAGGCAATAATGTAATTTTCTAGCTTTTTTCAGTCACCAAATTTGTTTAAATTCCTGAATTGGTTTTGTGTTTTTAATTATTTTTTTTCTGTAATAATATTTTCCTTTATTTAAATAGAAACAACATGATCAGTATTTTCATTGAGCATGTTACATTTATTTTTCTATGCTGGTTTATATTATAATTTTATTCTTTCTACACAGAAAATATCAGAGCCATGAAAGAAGAAAACAACCAACTCCGTCTGCAAACAATTTGTAAAATCTGCATGGACAAAGAAGTTTCTGTTGTGTTTCTGCCCTGTGGTCATCTTGTGTCCTGTGGAGAATGTGCTGTAGCTATGAGGGATTGTCCAGTTTGTCGAGTTAATGTTAAGGGAATTGTAAAGGCATCAATGGGTTAAAGTGCAATATCACATAAAAGGTTAAATTTAAATTATATACACAATAACATATACATATGCATACATAAACACATACATACATACACATGCACATAACCCACAGGCGACTAAATAAAATGAATAGCACTGGTTGTATAATTACTATTAAAGCTTAATTTAAAATAAGCAGCTTTTAACTAACTTAACTTGGCTTTTAAGTACTATAGCCCATTTGTAAAGGCCATTCTGTTATGTTACTAACAATATTTTATCCCAGAGTCTTGTCATTATTCAAAGTTATTTAAATCTATTTAAAATGCTCAATGTTAATTGTACTTGTTACAGCATTTGATATTACAAGATTTTAAATATTTGCTCTTTCATGTTAAATAATAGCAATATTTATATGTATTGTACCTACATGCATTATTGAAAAAGTTATTTAAATCTATTTAAAATGCTCAATGTTAATTGTACTTATTACAGCATTTGATATTACAAGATTTTAAATATTTGCTCTTTCATGTTAAATAATAGCAATATTTATATGTATTGTACCTACATGCATTATTGAAAAATGTTAAGCAATAACTGTATGGTATTAATATGAATATCCTCCTTTACATTCAAGTGAGATCACTTTAACGATTTACCAAATTTATACTCTTTTTTTAAAATTAAAATAAAACAATGAATTAGAAAAACTCATTTGCTAAAAATCTGTAAAAAAATAAATAAATAGGCCATATGAATTATATAACTTCAATTTCCTATCACTGTGATAAAATAATGGTTGTAACTCTTAAAAATATTGAGGCTACATTTAGGCACACATTTACCTTTCTTCAAATTTTTATAGCATATGTGATGTTAATGATGTTTTTATTTTTAAAATTGTGTTCTAATTTTAATTAGATTTTCAATAAAAATATATTTGTATATAGAAATCTATCTCATCTTTAATATTTCTCAACCCATGTTGAAATTAAAAAATATGTTTTGTAAAAAAAATGTTTTCCAATTTTGTACTTTTTTGCAAAAACACATAAGGTTAGCTTTAGCAACTTTGTGTAGCTTATAAATATAGGCTTATATTCCAGGGGCGGAACCAATGTTCCCTCTAAGGAGGATAAGCTAGTTCTAAAAGTCTTATACAAGGATATATTTATTTTATAAAATCACTGTGCGGCAGCTCAAAACTACTGCGCAGCTTAGAGGGAACATTGGGCGGAACTACTATATCCCCAGACCCCACAATTCAGGGGACCCTAGCCGTTTAGGGGGCCTCTAATATCTGGCTAAAAATATTTTTCGCACCGTGATAGACTAGTGGTTTTTTTTTAAATAAACAAATATACTACAGCAGTAACTGTTCTACAGTAACTAACAATATGGCATTGCAAAAAATCTAAAAGAGTTGTAGTGTGAAAGATAGGCAAAACTTCAAAACTTTTCATGGCTTATCACTCCTATTTAAATAGTCTAAAAAGGGTGCCATAATAAAAATTTGCCGGGGAGATTATTTTTTTTATAGATCCACCACATCATTGATTTATAAAGGGAGACTGGATGATTTTGGTGTTAAATAAATCAGGACACAACAGATAGAATTGTTTCACTGACTAGAATATATATATATATATATATATATATATATATATATATATAGGCATATATATAGGCATATATATAAAGCAAACTGCTCGGGTGTCCAATCGGGCTCTTCCCGGCGCCGCAGGCTCCTCCATTGGGACAATAGAACACTGTAGCAGGTGCCTGTTGGCACCAAAGTTCACGAAGAGGGTGTCAAAACTTACCTCGACTGACCGAGCTATATATCGAAAAAAAAAATCCTACGTAGGAACCTCTTCATAACTCCTGAGGTCGTAGATCGACCCTCCGAGCTAGAAAAATAAACTATGATATATTCGGGAAAACTCCGGGAGGGCTACATCTTGCTCATTTTTTCCATAACCTGGGTCAATGAATCGACCTTTATGATATGCTATCGGTCAGCCTCTGCTCGCACGTCGAGGGCTAAAAGCGACTACGAGTGAAATTCTCCTTATATGAGCTATATATCGGAAAAAAATTCCCACGTAGGTAACCTTTGAAAACTCTTGGAGATGTACATGGGCCCCAGGGATTCAGGGAAAAAATGGTGCTATCCTCAAGAAAACACCGGAACACTGTTTTAACTGACCAGAGGCCATATTTCCTAATATAAGCATAGTACTGTTTTTGTAAAACAAAAAAATACAAATATCTGGAAGTACAAACCCAATAATAACTCTTGAGGTCATAGAATTTGGGGGTCACTAAAAAAATTAGCGTTATCTTCGGGAAAACTTCGCAAGGCCTTTAGAAGCTACCGGTCCAAATTTTCCCTATATAAACATGGTTAATTTGGTGAAAAACGATGACTATTTTCAAAACAATGTTTAGGAACTTTGGCTCTGTAAATCTGGCTAATTTTTTCCATAAACCTGGGTAAATGAATCGGCCTTTATGATATGCTATCGGTCAGCCTCTGCTCGCACGACGAGGGCTAAAACGTGACCGCGAATTAAATTCTCCTTATATGAGCTATATATCGAAATTCCCACGTAGGAACTCTTTGAAAACTCTTGAGGTTGTACATCGGCCCAGGGGATTAGAAAAAAAAATTGTACTACCCTCGGTAAAACTCCGGAACACTGTCTCAATTGTCCAGATGCCATATTTACTTATATAAAAATAGTACTATTTTTGTAAAAAAAAAATACAAATATCTCCTAGCCCTTCTCTACCCAAGCAGAGTTCATATTTTCGGTTGCTAGACCCTATCTTCGCATGTCATGTTATGGGGTCCTGTCGATTTTGTGTAGTAGATAATACCAACTCCTTCCTGGTGTTGGTTATCAGATCTCCCAGAATAGATTATAGTTTCTCCTGATCCGAGTGTAGTCAGGCCTGAGTCTGTCCATCTCTTTTCGCCGATACCCAGTATTTTTATCCTGTATCTTGACATTTCCTTGACCACTTGAGCTGTTTTGCTAGTTTCGTACATGGTACGCACATTCCAAGCTCCTATTCGTGTAATAATTTTGGGGGTCACTAAGGACTGTGTCGGAGTAGAGACTTCCTTGTGGCTTTCATCTAGACTCGTCATATCAGGCAAATCTGCCTCAATCCTCAGATGATCTCCCATGATGGTTTGAGTTAGATTTGTTTCCGTTTTAGTAGCACTTTCGTTTCCCATCGTGGGTTCCTAGCCCAAAACCCAAAAACCTCCTCTTTTCTCCTTCTGAACTTGGTTTCAGACAATTGCAGAAAATACCATTTCTGTGTAGTTTGTAAAGCCAATTGACAGCTTTAAAATACGATTATCAAATAACGGAGAAATCCAGATTCAACTTTTCGTAAAAACAAATGTGTAAGATCGGGTAAAACAATTATTTTTTCATTAATAGCGTCACAAAAATTGTATTTTAAACACATAAGTTTTTTTAAAGTAATTATCATTTAAATGAAAATGGGCAAAGAATCCAAAATAAAAATAAAAACATGCGAAAACAATCATGATTTTAGTTATTTTCTGTTGAGCACAAAATATTTTTAGCAAATATAGGCTCCGGGAATTCCCGGATTTTTTTTTACAACGATTAAACAAGCCAAGTCTTGTCATGAGAAACAAGAAAAAAATAAGCTGAGCTTATAAACAATGAGTTTTAAAAACAGGTAAGTATACAATTTTTTCTTGAAAATGTTTTACAACTTTGGTTTAACACTAGCAAAGTAAATGGTAACTAGTGTTTATTTCAGACATTTTTCTCCGTCATAAAATAACAGAACACAAAATAACAAACAATACATTACAAAATAAAACAAACGATTTTCTAACCCTTGTAAAATAAATGTTCGTTTCACTTATTTGATATTAAGTATTAAGGACAGCGAACATCGGTAGGGGAAACAATGACTTTATTTAATACATTTACATTTCTATTAAATTTTTAATTAAATATAATTATACTAGCCGTCCCGACTAGGCCCTGCACTGGTCTCTGTGAAAAACCTATCTGTAAAGGACCATGACTTGCTTGTTTATTAAGCAGTATATACCCGGCATTGCCCGGGTTGAGGAAATATATTACATTTGAAATTAAATGTCTAAATGAAAATTGAGGACTTATGAGAAAAACACACAAAACCCTAACTCTAATTCTAAACTTAACCCTAACCACAACCAACCACCAGTGCTTTACTATGCTCATTATTCGACGTATGAGGAGTTAGTAGATTTACATTAATAGCTATTTCTTTAACGCCGTGGATGTGTACATATTGTACAGGATGTTTACAAAGTATGAGCTCCATTTCTGAAAATACAGATTGTAAGTCGTGAGGGGGGAGAGTTCGGTATGAATACCTGGAAAGGGAGGAAGGGGTGGGAGAAATAAGTAAGCCATATGTACACAAACATATTAATTTGATTATAGATGTTGGGAATAGATGGGATGCAATATTACCCGATGTCAAAACATGTACATGATATGAGGGGTGACTGCTTCAGTTTTTTCTTTTGCCTTTGACATAATTTACAGGGTCCGTATGCCTTGCGTGTTCGCTTTAGTATCACAGTTTTCATCATTGGCTTGTGAGGACTGATACAGATTTACAATTATAATACTTCTTTCTTACATGTAGCCTACTTTCATTCATTTAAGATGGTTGACATTGTGGCTAAACATGGCCAGAAACAAAAAAAAAAACGACCATGTTAAAGGGTCGCTGTAATACTTATACTGATCTATCATTCCAAAATTCTCCACGACCCTAAATTAACCCCTGTCGATAAGCGTACGCTGCCTTTGATCGATCCATAAATTCGGTTGGGTGGGGTTCAAAAAATTAGTATACTTCTAAAATTACGGCCTTTAACAAAAATCTCTGAGAAAAAAAAAGTTTTAATAAGTGGACTCAGCAGGTTTTGCAAGTGGCTACCTCAAATATAATTTTTTAGAGATGGTTTAAATTTCACACCTATTTGAAAATTGTGAAACATAAATTTTTGTGGATCTTTTTTTTATCCATATACTGTTATCGTTTATTTTTTGTGTAATAGACAAAAATGGGGAAATTAAAAGATGATAATATAAGCTACCAATATCACATGTCTAAGACATAAAAAAATATTAATAAATGAAATTTTAACAGTAATCGGCGTTTTACTGTATCGTATACGGAATATAGTAGATGCATTGTAATCGTATAAAAATGTTCATCAAAATTTTGACAAAGTTTGACGTTTTATAAGATTCTGGAGCTTTTCAAACCTTTCCGCCTGTGTGTGTAAACATGATAACTTTAGTATCGTTTCAGTTGGGTTTACGAAATTTCATGCTTAAGAATATTAGTTTATACTTAAATATCCTCCAATATCCGGAACTGGAACTATATATTATTTTTGGTTTCTAAAATACAGATAACATAAATGCAGTTTCAGTTAGTTGAAAGAAATTATATATATATATATATATATATATATATATATATATATATATATATATATATATATATATATATATATATATATGATCTTATTGACCATTCCCTCAAATTTCAAGTGATTTTAAGTGAACGAAAATTGTACTTTACGGCATTTCCGATTATTAAAAAAAACTATCATTTCTACCGGACTGATCTGTTTTAAATTTTTCACGTATATCTAGACTCGGCGACAATGCCATGTGACATAAAATATGACTTGATTGGGTGTTTAATTAACTTTTTAAAACTAAATCGAAGTTTTGCTTATAAAGTGCTAATTATTCGCTCAATTCTGTACACATGTTAACATTCATTTGGAGCGCTATTCTTTTCTTCTATTCAAATCTATTATATTTTAAAAATGTAAGTATTAAAATTAAAAGAAAAAATGTTTCTATAGCTTTATTGCATTGAAAGTCAACACAATATGCTTCATATATGAGAAAGTAAAAATAACTAAATAACTGGGAAAATGTGTTTTGTTTATTTTCTAAGTGTAAGAATCTTGTTAGAGTTCACAAAAACCATTATTCATACTAAAATTAAAATCAGATAACATTATTCACAACACAGAAGACGAAAGAAAAAAAACAAGATTGGAGTCCAAGGAAAACGTAGAAGAATAGACAAAAAGAGATTTAAAGGTAAATTGAAATGTATATTTGTGAGATGTGTGGTATACTAAAACATTTTTAATATACATTCAACAATAATATGAACATTTTTTATGGAATAATGTAAGAGCTATTTTAACAAAGTGAATTACTATTTATCTAGAAAAGCGTGGGTGGCTATATTTAGTATTGGATGATGCATGTTTTCTTTGTCATTAGCAGGTTTACGTCATGGTGTCAACCCCCTCCCTCCCAGTCGTGTCGGTATTTGTCCACTTTGCTCTTAAAAGACTATTTAATTCACTGAAATTAATCATTTAATTAAGTGAAATTATATTTTTTCTGTATATATTTTGCTATTTTTTTGCCTTGATGTCACCCCCCTAAATGGTGTCACCCGGTGCGGTCCGCAGCCCCCCCCCCATCCCCCCATCCTCGCTACGCCTCTGATTAAAATATCGTTCCCATTTCTATTCAATAAGACCTGAACAACTAAAGAAATTACATTGTGTAGTTATTAAGACAGCATTTTGATTATTTTGAAATTGTTAAATGTCATTTCGGGCTATGGTCTACAACCTATAACCAATCAATAAGTAAAAAACAAAATTTAAAAAAAATATAAAGGCGTAGTCAAATGGTAAAGCGTTTGGTTCCTAGCCCAAAGGACTCGAGCTCGGATCTCAGTCCTGACTTATGACTGCAGGACGTCCCTGAATCGACCCAGCTAATAGTGACATAGTGGTAAAATTAAAGGCGGCTGGGCTTAGTGCTGACCATACCATCCCTTCAAATGCCTAGGTCAAGAAACATACGAACTCTACTTCATATGCCCAACGGATCGCTAGTCTAACGGTGGATCTTTACTTTAAAATGCCAAATACACGAGGAATAAAGTAAGAAAAATAAAACCTAAAAATAAGATGTTTCTCAAATTTAAGGATCAAAAAGCCTATTTATAGGCTTAGAGATTGTGTACAATTTATATTAAAGATTATCATTTTTACCCACCACCCTATCCTAAATAACTATATATAACGTCCAATTAAATGAAACGGAACTCAAGTTATTGTATACACTCACACCAAAACATACCACAAGTAGCCCACATGAGACAGACTAAAATTATTTCCTAATAGCATTCAGAAAAACGTAAACTGCTAGAAGTAATTTGTGATTCATCTGTTCTATTTTTTAAGTAAAATGTAGATATTCAAAAAAGAAGCAAGAAAGGCACTTTAGGAAAACAACTCCAAAATTAGTACGTAGGCTTGATAAAAAGAAGAGTAAGAAGAAAGATGATGCGCAGGTACCATTGTATAATGTGCAGACAGCCACACGAAATCATCCGGTGTCGATACAAGGAATACCATGGATATTATTTAACAACGAGAGGCAAAGATTAATAACATATGTTAAATATCCGGAACGAGGTCAGAAGTCGGTCGTTTTGCTGGCGAACCACGGGTTCGTGTACACAGGGGAAGGTAACGACAACGACGACAGAGTTACCTGCTACTCTTGCTGTTCGACCAAACAGGACTGGCTTCTCTTGGACGACGTGGCGGAAATCCACGGGCAAATGTCGCCTGGGTGTTCCATGGTAACCCATATCAACAGCGATAACATACCAATGTCAACAGACGCAAACCTTGATACCAGCAGACAGACAGGAACCACACAACAATCAACACCAACCAACACAGTAGTAGCCCCTACAAGTTTTACCTCAGGTGAACGCCAAAAACCTACTAGAGCTAGAAAACCAACATACTCAGAGCTTGGCATAATCATCAGCAAGCCTAAATCTCCTGAATACGCATTGAAAAGCAAAAGAGTAACATCCTATGAGGGTTTGCCACAAGATCTGACTGGTACTGTAGAAAAATGGATAGATTCGGGCTTTTACTACCTTGGTAATGTGGATTTTATAGTTTTCTTTATTTGCAATTCAATTTATTCGTTGACAACTTTTTTTTGCTAACTGCACTTTAGTTACTGAAATTGTCTTTATTAAGTTCGTTGTAATTTTAACTACGTACATTCTTTGTTGATGATTGTTTAGTTCAACATTTTACTACATAAGTTTAGCATTAACAAAAGTAGTGTTACATTTTTTTGGTACTTACACTTACACAGAAGAAACGGCTGTTTATTGTTTATTGTTAAAATGATTATTTCTAAGTTTCAAGCTTTGCATTAGTATGGATAATTAATGTGTTATTGCATGTTCACCGCAGGTTATGGACAATGCGTCCGGTGTTTCCACTGTGGAGGTAGACTAAAAAACTGTGGAGATGAACAGCAACCTGATGTTGAGCATGCAAAATGGTTTCTTAATTGTGATTTCATCCGTCAACGAATGGGCCACGGTTTCGTAGACTGTGTCCAGGAACTAAAAAAGGACCATGATCAGGTAAATGTCACCTTATCTAGTTGATCAGGTGAAATGATGGAGTGGGCAAAAAGTTGATCATGTAAATTAACTGTATGTAACTTTTTGATCTGATTTCTTAATGTATGAAGAAGGAAATTGTAAGCGAACAATAAAATACTTACCTTCAATAGCCTGTGGTTGTTTTTAAAATTAAAACGTGTCTCCTTTCCAGAGTTCACGTCAGTTGGTGTCGGATGAATTAAATGTTCGCCTAGGTATGTATTTGTGTCAATGTGTTTGTTTAAAATCTGTTGATTTTTATATTTTATCCCAGCTTCCGCTAAATAAAACTAACTGGCAAATTCTGTTAACGGGATAAATATTTTCTTTTAAATAGATGTTCAAAACAAATAATGAACTACCATACAGCCAGACCTCGTTATGTGGTAGGTGGGGGCCGGGCCCTTTGGCGTGGCCAAAATCCGAGAATAGTTTTTAAAATCACAATTTTATTCTTACGCGTAGCTACTAACTGGGAAGAAAGGCTGACATAACATTCGAAGAGGATTTCATTAATGCGTTAACAATAGTGTATTTTTATACAGATGACCTTGTTTTCTAAAACAAAGTTATTTCAATGTATGTAATGTCGGCGTTATATTTTTTGGATCCAGTTTTTGCGGCAAGTTTTTAGGTGTCCGGTCATAAACCCCCTGGACAAACCCCCTGTGCCCCCCCCCCCCCCGAAGAAAGTCTACCGCCCCCCCCCCCCATCCCGAACGAAATGAAATTTATATAAAAAATATATACTTTTAACAGTGTCCGCCCCCCCCCCCCCGAGAAAAGTCTACCGCTCCCCGAAAATTTCAAGTGCCCCCCCCCCCCCCCCGGAGAAAAAAGTCTGGAAGAAACACTGGACAAAACCCCCGACATAAACCCCCATGGACGTAAACCCCCCGCGACATGAACCCCCCGGACAAAAACCCCCCAATTGAAGTTTATATAAGGAAAAAACAAAAGATAATGAGAACTAAAATTAATAATTAAAAACAAAACAAACATTAGAAAAAACAGGGATTTATTATAACTAAAAAGAGAGATTGTGAGCGATGCCTCGCAAATACTCTATAATGGTGGGCTCATTAAAATTTTTAACAACATGTGAAATTCGAGCGCTGCTATCAATATTTTTGTTTCTGTTTTGGTAAACAGTGACATGAATTTATCTGTGTACAGTAAACCTCTTGAAGCGATTGTTCCTTTTTAATAAAGGCAATGAATTTCTCAATATTTGGGTGGCAACATCCCAAATTCGACTGGAAACTTCTGTGCCAGCCTTCAATTGAGTTGTTTGTTTTTGGTATATGACAGAGGCGTAGCGACCCTTCCCGGCGCCCGGGGACAACTTTCGATTTGCACCCCCCCCCCCTCTGAAACTTTAGATTTGCACCCCCTACCCCTCAACCTTTCAATTTATTATAAAGGGGGTTTATGTCCAGGGGGTATTTGACCGGAGCCAAGTTTTTGGTACACTGCCGCCCAGACGTCTTAGAGCGTGCTGTATGAAAACATTGAGTGTACTATAATCACCCTCACTATCAGTGTGTTAGAGCACACCTCGGTGACCGCCCTCTATCAGGGACATCGCCGGGAGCCACCGGTTACACTTTCCCAGGACTCACTGTGCCCGTATAGTAGGGTGCTCTTTAGAACAAATGTAGACAACACAGTGCTCAAATGCGGGCTCTAGGTGCTCAACGCCATCAGACCGCCCGGGCGCCGGTGGACGCGAAAGATTCGATTTATTCAACCATATACATAGTCTATGGCACTCTTTAAAAACAAATAGTTTATTTTATATCTCATCTAGCTTACATAAATTGATTTATGTAAATAATAAATATTGGAAGTATTCTATACTTTAATCCTTCTAGTGAATATGCGTAATAGCTAAGGGTAAATTGGAATTTGTGTTTGATTGCGTGTTAATATGGGTCAAAACATTAGTTATAAATTAATTAATCAAATAGAAAATGTTAAATTTAAAGTTAAGATTCTGTTAAAGCTATTATTGAACTAAATTGAGCTAGAGTTGAGGGGGCGGTCACTTATTTGCATAGTTGGGTGGGGGTAGTTTAAGGATATGTTAGGAATAGGTTAGGTATAGGTTTAGATATTGGTATATTTTTAGAATACTTGTAGGTGTAGGTGTAGATGCAGATGCAGGTGCAGGTACAGGTGTAGTTTTAGGTGTAGGTGGAGATGGAGATGATGAAGTAGGTGTGGGTATACGTATTATGTGTGTGTACGTGTATAATACCATGTATAGGGATAGAGAAAATGAAATAGCATAGAACAGTGACAGGGAAACGGATAGGGTTAAGATAGAGATAGAGAAATTACTATAGATAAGTACCATGCCAAAGACAAAAGATTCAGAAAAGGATAGGTATTGAAAATCTAAAAAAAAACTGACGGTCCTATTGGCAAGTGAAGTTAATTTCACATATTTCTGTGATATCAGCATATGAAGGGATCATGTGGTTGACCCATGTGGTCAACCCTATGTACAGCTAAAGGATACAGATTGGTGTAGGGATAATGTTAGGGAAAATTATAGGGATAGGAATCGGAATTTGGATTGATTTATGATTTATTTGATTTGATTTAGGATAATATTTTTAGTTATGGTTGCGAGGGTTAGAGTTTATGCATTTTTCGGACGTTTAATTTAAAATGTGATGTTATTCCCGAAACCCCGGTAGCGCCAGGTAGGCCTATATGCTATTTCATAATATGACACACATTTTAACATAAATTTTAATGTTTTGCTAAATCAAAGTGTAAAGACGTAAACTGTGAAGAATTTTTATGTTGTAATTCAATATACTAGATGCGGTTTTGGAGCCTTTAAAACGAGACGCAGCCGTTAAAGCTGTTGTTGAGATGGGATACAACGTCGTTGATGCTGTAGCAGCAGCAAAAGCCGTCAAAGAACGGAGTAAGTACTTATAAATTTGAAAATCGTTTGGTAGTTTCATTATTAAAAATAAATACTTAACTTTTTTTTTCCTTTTTAAATTGGGA